GCACATCAATGGAGGTATTTTGAGACAACCTATCAGATTAAGACTCCAGCCTTTATATGCCCATAACAAACGTCCTGAGGAAGCGTCATACGGCGAAACACGTCGACGTCATACAAGGGGGAGGAGCTTGCATCACACGGAGTCCGGAGCGTTTTTGGTTTTTTTGAGACTGACGTTCCAGCGGCTTTCATTACAGCGATTCATCTACAGTCCAGCCAAGCCCGAGGAGTGATAGCAGCCCACCCGCTACTTTGAATCTTTAGAAGCTGTTTTAGTGAGAAACGGCGGAAGCTGGTTTAACTCACTATCATATCCAGCAAGGAGCTAACAACCCTCTGTTTTTTATACCATTATTATTATTTTTTTGTAACTATGTATTCGTTTTAACTCTGCATGTAGCAGACAATAAATTACTGTTATACTTTTCTAGTATTTTGGCTTTTTAAGCTAATTAATGTAATGGTGATATCTAATTGTCAATCTATATAAAAAAGACTTACAAAAGATTTATTAAGCAGATATCAATTGATTAATTAAGTGTTCTTGCATAGCAAGACCACTTAATGTTATCTCACATATATATTATTAAGTGTTCTTGCATAGCAAGACCACTTAATGTTATCTCACATATATATTATTATTATTATTATTAAATGTTCTTGCATAGCAAGACCACTTAATGTTATCTCACATATATATTATTATTAAGTGTTCTTGCAAGAACACTTATTGTTATCTCACATATATATTATTAAGTGTTCTTGCATAGCAAGACCACTTAATGTTATCTCACATATATATTATTATTATTATTATTATTATTATTCTTATTATAGCAAAATTTGCCACCCTAACTCCTCCCACAGTTTTTACACTACATAGACAAAAATTTACCAAAACGCGCAGATTGTTCCCGATCGGATTGCTATTACTTTGTGGAACGTTTCGCCGAATGGTTCACGGAATATCGTCGTTCTTGTGGCGAAATTTGTCCCATAGGAATAAATGGCAAAGCTAGAGTGGGAGCTGGCAAAAGCTGAAAAATCAGGACATGATTTCTAAACTGCCACCACTCTCTTATTTTCAGGCCCACCTACACAAATCTTATATCAAAACGTTCAGCTATCCCTCCTGCCACTAAACATGTCAACGGCTAAGCCATAGTCCTGATAGTTTTCACAATATAATCATTTGTTTGCAACTAACGCCGTCCATTGACATTCATTGAAACTTCACTCTGCAAAGCTCAAATTTAAAGTGCAATTTCTAAACTGCGACTGTGCCTTCAATTTTAATACTTCAGAGACATACTATGCATCAAAATGTAGGTCTGGGTCTTGTGATTCTCACAATATAAAGCTCTTCACTGTAGGAGTTACAGTTTTTAAGATACGACCGTTTGAAGATGGCAACCGCCAAAATACTCTGACCTGTGTCAAGCTGCAGCAGCAAGTGATGTCATAGACAGGCCTTTTGAACACCTGCTAATGTTTTTATAAATGTATGGTTTAATGTAACTGTGCAACAACCTTGCAATTAAATGTGCTATATAAATGATAACAGTTACTCCGCCCACTCCAGTTGTAGACTACTGGTGGAGGCAAGAACACTTCACACAATTTCCCCTGACATTGTAACTTTTCTAGTTCTTATTCTTATTCTTATTATAGCCAAATTTGCCACCCTAACTCCTCCCACAGTTTTTACACTACATAGACCAAAATTTACCAAAACGTGCAGATTGTTCACGATCGGATTGCTATTACTTTGTGGAACGTTTCGCCGAATGGTTCACGGAATATCGTCGTTCTTGTGGCGAAATTTGTCCCATAGGAATGAATGGCAAAGCTAGAGTGGGAGCTGGCAAAAGCTGAAAAATCAGGACATAATTTCTAAACTGCCACCACTCCCTTATTTTCAGGCCCACCTACACAAATCTTATATCAAAACGTTCAGCTATCCCTGCTGCCACTAAACATGTCAACGGCTAAGCCATAGTCCTGATAGTTTTCATAATATAATCATTTGTTTGCAACTAACGCCGTCCATTGACTTTCATTGAAACTTCACTCTGCAAAGCTCAAATTTGAAGTGCAATATCTAAACTGCGACTGTGCCTTCAATTTTAATACTTCAGAGACATACTATGCATCAAAATGTAGGTCTGGGTCTTGTGATTCTCACAATATAAAGCCCTTCGCTGTAGGATTTATAGTTTTTAAAATATGACTGTTTGAAGATGGCAACCACCAAAATACTCTGACCTGTCAAGGCTGCAGCAGCAAGTGATGTCATAGACAGGGCCTTTTGAACACCTGCTAATGTTTTATAAATGTATGGTTTAATGTAACTGTGCAACAACGTTGCAATTAAATGTGCTATATAAATGATAACAGTTACTCCGCCCACTCCAGTTGTAGACTACTGGTGGAGGCAAGAACACTTCACACAATTTCCCCAGAAATTGTAGCTTTTCTAGTTAATTACTGCTAGTTCAAAAAACCATCTGCACTATCATTGCATTTCTTATTTTTTCTCTTACCTATTACAACCATTTTTTGGAAGAATCATCTAATATTCAAGGAGTTTGTATACAATTTGTTATCGTTCTAAAGTTGTGTTTAACTTTGCTCCACTCACTACTACACATTATTCTTCATTGGTGAATTTGGGGATCACACCAGAGTGTGAAGCAATTTTCTACACTTAATTCTATGAGGCTTGTTTAGCACCCAGATTTCTTTTTTCTTTAATATGTACTTGTGTTTGTCCTAAGATTGCAGTGATTTTGTTGTTGCTGTTTTTTTGCCTATTTAACAGTAGTACTAAACAGTAACATGAAGGCAGTGTAGCCATACATAATAACTCAATGACACGGACGGTTGCTATTTGTTAAATAGTATATATAATGCAGAATTGGTAAGCCTGTATGTCTTCCATACTGCTTTTCAATGGCATCTCTGCTCTCTGCAAAGCACTGTCTTTCCAAGTGAAAGAATAAACAGTTCTTTAGGACTGAGAGCCAAGCCCACCAGTCACCCTAAAACAAACCTCCGGTCTTTAAATCTCACCCCTGACCTGTTTGTTGAATCAGTGGACAGTCAGGTCTTGGCTTGTTCGTCCTGTTCACCCAAGGCATAGCTTTACCAAGCTTGATGAAATTCTCTCTGACAGTGGGATTTACATATCTGCCTGTTTTGCAGTTATATTGCTGCAGGCTTGACACTAAATACGTTTGTTTTTCTATTGTGTATCTTTAAATTTGGGTTGGGTGTTCCGTGCTTTAAGGGTCCCTCCAAGCATCATAATCACTACGGCCCGCAGTAGTACGATAGTTATGATGCCAGCATTATTATTATTATTATTGCCATTTATATAGCGCCAACAGATTCCGTAGGCGCATATGTTATGAGAGGGGGATTTAACTATAAATAGGACAATTACAAAAAAAACTTACAGGAACAATAGGTTGGAGTAGTACCCTGGCTCCATTTTGCAACAGTTTGCCCTCTTACCTGGGTGCCTTGGTACCTCTGGTGGCAAGGGACATGCATCTGATTTTTGCAGAGCGGCAGAAGCTACAAGCCGCTCTCAGCCAATGAATGCAAAAGTGTGCATAGGAATATGCATAGAATTAACATTAGTCACCCAGGACTTTTGTTCTGGCCTTGTTAATGACAACAACGCCGCCAACGGTGTAGTTACTCCTCTGAAAGCAAAGAGGTTAAACTCCGTGTGTGCAGCATTTCATAGCGAAACACTGCGCATACAGCCTCCAGGTACCATGACCACTTCAAATCACTGAAGTTGTGAGTGTGCTTGGAGTAATCCTTTAAATTTGTATGATAAAAAGTTATAGTATTTTAAAAGGACCTTTGCCGTGATCTGGATGGCATTTTTAGGTCACCAAGGGAATGAAAGTGGGCTCCATGAACTATGAAAAATGTAAAAAAATTTAATTAAATAAAAAATAGCTTTGAAGAACTCTTACAAGAATTACAATAATATGACATTAATTTACAAAAAAAATTATTACTCTGCAAGAGTCTCTAGATTTGCAATGTTTTGCCCTATTCTTCTGGAATGCAACAGGCATATTATAAGTATGCAAAGGTATTTCCTAAAGTAATACAAGATTCATAAAACGTTACAGTAAACAGGGCTATTATCTTAGAACATATATAAAAGACAAATACAGAATTTTCTAACTAGTATACGCACCCGTCTGGCTGCAAAAGGGTTAATTCTTCATACCAAAAGGGCCATGGAGTAATTAAAAGATCTGTTTATTTGATGGAGTCTCCCTTGTCCAAACCTGCACTGCTTCAAGCTATAAAAAAAGTATATATTTTAAAGTCATATTTCACCAGACCCTTGGTATATTTATAAAGCACCTTGACAGGAAGTAAGTAATTACATTTATAAGAGTTTCCATGCCCCTGGGGAGAGGAGGGCCAGAATATGAAGAAAAAGAAGATGTAAATACAAGGACAAACTATGAGTAATCGTGAAACATTGGAAATGATTCTAAATAGAATGCATCCATACATGTTGTGGAAACCAGACTGGTTTACTGCAATGGTTTACTGGTGTAAGAAATAAAAGGATACATGTTGCATATTTCTAGCAGTAAATATTACAGGCTAATGAATGGAAACCAAAATACTATAGTAACTGGAAGATCCGTACAGAACATTGTCTTAACGTAAATGCAAAAATATAATTGAGAATGAACATCTAAGTAAATTCAAACATCTTTTCCCTCATTCTGTTAAAGGCAATATCCTCTTGCTTGTTCTTTTAAAGGCAATGTCTTCTCTCTAGTTCCGTTGAAGGCATGTGCACAACTTTGTTCTTGTAAAAGCAACATCTAAAGCGTTATTTTGCTAAAAAGCAACAACCTTGCTCTGTTGTATTTAGCATATACATTCTTCTTCTATGGCCATAGCCATGTTGTGTTGAAGACATCCTCTACAGCCATGTTGTGTTGAAGGCATCCTCTACAGCCATGTTGTGTTAAAGGCATCCTTCACAGCCATGTTGTGTTGAAGGCATCCTCCACAGCCATGTTGTGTTGAAGGCATCCTCCACAGCCATGTTGTGTTGAAGGCATCCTCCACAGCCATGTTGTGTTGAAGGCATCCTCCACAGCCATGTTGTGTTGAAGGCATCCTCCACAGCCATGTTGTGTTGAAGGAGTCCTCCACAGCCATGTTGTGTTGAAGGCGTCTTCCACAGTCATGTTGTGTTGAAGGCGTCTTCCACAGCCATGTTGTGTTGAAGGCGTCTTCCACAGCCATGTTGTGTTGAAGGCGTCTTCCACAGCCATGTTGTGTTGAAGGCGTCCTCCACAGCCATGTTGTGTTGAAGGCGTCCTCCACAGCCATGTTGTGTTGAAGGCGTCCTCCACAGCCATGTTGTGTTGAAGGCTTCCTCCACAGCCATGTTGTGTTGAAGGCGTCCTCCACAGCCATGTTGTGTTGAAGGCATCCTCCACAGCCATGTTGTGTTGAAGGCATCCTCCACAGCCATGTTGTGTTGAAGGCATCCTCCACAGCCATGTTGTGTTGAAGGCGTCTTCCACAGCCATGTTGTGTTGAAGGCGTCTTCCACAGCCATGTTGTGTTGAAGGCGTCTTCCACAGCCATGTTGTGTTGAAGGCATCCTCCACAGCCATGTTGTGTTGAAGGCATCCTCCACAGCCATGTTGTGTTGAAGGCATCCTCCACAGCCATGTTGTGTTGAAGGTATCCTTCACAGCCATGTTGTGTTAAAGGCATCCTTCACAGCCATGTTGTATTAAGGGCATCTTCCACGACAATGTTGTGATGAAGGCATCTTCCACGACAATGTTGTGATGAAAGGCAATGTCTTCTCTCTAGTTCCGTTGAAGGCATGTGCACAACTTTGTTCTTGTAAAAGCAACATCTAAAGCGTTATTTTGCTAAAAAGCAACAACCTTGCTCTGTTGTATTTAGCATATACATTCTTCTTCTATGGCCATAGCCATGTTGTGTTGAAGACATCCTCTACAGCCATGTTGTGTTGAAGGCATCCTCTACAGCCATGTTGTGTTAAAGGCATCCTTCACAGCCATGTTGTGTTGAAGGCATCCTCTACAGCCATGTTGTGTTGAAGGTGTCCTCCACAGCCATGTTGTGTTGAAGGCATCCTCCACAGCCATGTTGTGTTGAAGGCATCCTCCACAGCCATGTTGTGTTGAAGGCATCCACCACAGCCATGTTAGTTGAAGGCATCCTCCACAGCCATGTTGTGTTGAAGGAGTCCTCCACAGCCATGTTGTGTTGAAGGCGTCTTCCACAGTCATGTTGTGTTGAAGGCGTCTTCCACAGCCATGTTGTGTTGAAGTCGTCTTCCACAGCCATGTTGTGTTGAAGGCGTCTTCCACAGCCATGTTGTGTTGAAGGCGTCTTCCACAGCCATGTTGTGTTGAAGGCGTCCTCCACAGCCATGTTGTGTTGAAGGCGTCCTCCACAGCCATGTTGTGTTGAAGGCGTCCTCCACAGCCATGTTGTGTTGAAGGCATCCTCCACAGCCATGTTGTGTTGAAGGCATCCTCCACAGCCATGTTGTGTTGAAGGCATCCTCCACAGCCATGTTGTGTTGAAGGCATCCTCCACAGCCATGTTGTGTTGAAGGCATCCTCCACAGCCATGTTGTGTTGAAGGTATCCTTCACAGCCATGTTGTGTTAAAGGCATCCTTCACAGCCATGTTGTATTAAGGGCATCTTCCACGACAATGTTGTGATGAAGGCATCTTCCACGACAATGTTGTGATGAAAGGCAATGTCTTCTCTCTAGTTCCGTTGAAGGCATGTGCACAACTTTGTTCTTGTAAAAGCAACATCTAAAGCGTTATTTTGCTAAAAAGCAACAACCTTGCTCTGTTGTATTTAGCATATACATTCTTCTTCTATGGCCATAGCCATGTTGTGTTGAAGACATCCTCTACAGCCATGTTGTGTTAAAGGCATCCTTCACAGCTATGTTGTGTTGAAGGCATCCTCTACAGCCATGTTGTGTTGAAGGCGTCCTCCACAGCCATGTTGTGTTGAAGGCATCCTCCACAGCCATGTTGTGTTGAAGGCATCCTCCACAGCCATGTTGTGTTGAAGGCATCCACCACAGCCATGTTAGTTGAAGGCATCCTCCACAGCCATGTTGTGTTGAAGGAGTCCTCCACAGCCATGTTGTGTTGAAGGCGTCTTCCACAGTCATGTTGTGTTGAAGGCGTCTTCCACAGCCATGTTGTGTTGAAGGCGTCTTCCACAGCCATGTTGTGTTGAAGGCGTCTTCCACAGCCATGTTGTGTTGAAGGCATCCTCCACAGCCATGTTGTGTTGAAGGCATCCTCCACAGCCATGTTGTGTTGAAGGCGTCCTCCACAGCCATGTTGTGTTGAAGGCATCCTCCACAGCCATGTTGTGTTGAAGGCATCCTCCACAGCCATGTTGTGTTGAAGGCATCCTCCACAGCCATGTTGTGTTGAAGGTATCCTTCACAGCCATGTTGTGTTAAAGGCATCCTTCACAGCCATGTTGTATTAAGGGCATCTTCCACGACAATGTTGTGATGAAGGCATCTTCCACGACAATGTTGTGATGAAAGGCAATGTCTTCTCTCTAGTTCCGTTGAAGGCATGTGCACAACTTTGTTCTTGTAAAAGCAACATCTAAAGCGTTATTTTGCTAAAAAGCAACAACCTTGCTCTGTTGTATTTAGCATATACATTCTTCTTCTATGGCCATAGCCATGTTGTGTTGAAGACATCCTCTACAGCCATGTTGTGTTGAAGGCATCCTCTACAGCCATGTTGTGTTAAAGGCATCCTTCACAGCCATGTTGTGTTGAAGGCATCCTCTACAGCCATGTTGTGTTGAAGGCGTCCTCCACAGCCATGTTGTGTTGAAGGCATCCTCCACAGCCATGTTGTGTTGAAGGCATCCTCCACAGCCATGTTGTGTTGAAGGCATCCACCACAGCCATGTTAGTTGAAGGCATCCTCCACAGCCATGTTGTGTTGAAGGAGTCCTCCACAGCCATGTTGTGTTGAAGGCGTCTTCCACAGTCATGTTGTGTTGAAGGCGTCTTCCACAGCCATGTTGTGTTGAAGGCGTCTTCCACAGCCATGTTGTGTTGAAGGCGTCTTCCACAGCCATGTTGTGTTGAAGGCGTCCTCCACAGCCATGTTGTGTTGAAGGCGTCCTCCACAGCCATGTTGTGTTGAAGGCATCCTCCACAGCCATGTTGTGTTGAAGGCATCCTCCACAGCCATGTTGTGTTAAAGGTATCCTTCACAGCCATGTTGTGTTGAAGGCATCCTCTACAGCCATGTTGTGTTGAAGGCGTCCTCCACAGCCATGTTGTGTTGAAAGCGTCCTCCACAGCCATGTTGTGTTGAAGGCATCCTCCACAGCCATGTTGTGTTGAAGGCATCCACCACAGCCATGTTGTGTTGAAGGCATCCACCACAGCCATGTTAGTTGAAGGCATCCTTCACAGCCATGTTGTATTGAAGGAGTCCTCCACAGCCATGTTGTGTTGAAGGCGTCTTCCACAGTCATGTTGTGTTGAAGGCGTCTTCCACAGCCATGTTGTGTTGAAGGCGTCTTCCACAGCCATGTTGTGTTGAAGGCGTCTTCCACAGCCATGTTGTGTTGAAGGCGTCCTCCACAGCCATGTTGTGTTGAAGGCGTCCTCCACAGCCATGTTGTGTTGAAGGCATCCTCCACAGCCATGTTGTGTTGAAGGCATCCTCCACAGCCATGTTGTGTTGAAGGCATCCTCCACAGCCATGTTGTGTTAAAGGTATCCTTCACAGCCATGTTGTGTTAAAGGCATCCTTCACAGCCATGTTGTGTTAAGGGCATCTTCCACGACAATGTTGTGATGAAGGCATCTTCCACGACAATGTTGTGATGAAAGTATATTCCACGGAAATGTTGTGTTGATGGCTTCTTCCACAGACACATTGTGTTGAAGGAATCTTCCACAGACATATTGTGTGGAAGAATTCCTCCGCATTAGGCAAGATCCACACCCATATTTGGTTGATGACAACATCCACAACCTGGAACAGCCATATTTGGTTGAAGACATCTACAACGTGGAACTGAATCTTTCAAATTTTATGTTACAGTACATACATAGTGCTGAGCATCTTTCATTGACTTCTTCCTTCTCAACAACATATACATAGACTGGTTAAAATTAATTTTGCACTGCAAAGCAATACATGAAACTTAGATCCACCTAACTTCTAACTCTATGCACACGCAAAGCATTAGCTAAAAATTTAAAGCAACTGAGTATCTACATCCCTTTAGCATATTGCAACAAAAGAGAAACTGTGGGGTATAAATTAACTTATTATTTTTAATGTATTCTAAGATAATGTGCCTAAAAATATAAAAATAAAAGTTACTCGCCTTCAAAGTTTCCCTTGATGCACTGTTTAGTGAGTCCACATGACTCTGCAAGCAGACCCTTCTCTAATCAGGAAGAAACTGTTATCTCATGCAGGTGTTGATAGGGCAAGTAGTTTATCCTCAAGAATGGGTCTGCTTTGTAAACAGCCATAACTTGGCTGGTGTTAGTTTAGATGGCCTGGTTCATTGTTTAGATAACCGGGAAAAATGTAACTATTGGCAGAGCAGCAATCCACAGCATGGCTTTCTCTCCTGGGAGGAGAAAGCGCTCAGCCCAAGGTATGCGTGTGAAGTACCAACACTGTTTGCAAAACATGGGTGAATTTAACACAGGGTGTCAGATTGATAGCTCTGAGGGGCAGACTTACAGGATTATCCACTAAATTGAGAATTCACTGTGAATTCAAAGTTAATTTCAAATTTAGCATCAAAATAGCAGAACTGGAATAATTCTCCAAGTCAACTATGCCTTCATTTAAGCTACTTTGGACTTTAACTTGAAATTTACTGTGCATTCTAACCCTGTTAGAGCTGCAGAGATATTTACAAATTGCTGCAATTTTTGTGGTAGGAAATATAACACTTTATCACATTCCCTCTATCACTGTACTACTTCCGCTCCCAGTTGAGCCTCACTGTGGAGTGTGATGCGGGAAGTTAGGGTAGAGCAGTCTGGCAGGGGAGGAGACTGGGGAGACCAACAATGTGCAGGGTCGGTGGCACACCGCCTAAGTGCTCTCGCTGGAGAAGGATTGTGGTTGCAAGCCGGCTGAATTAGAGGCTGGCCACATGCTTTTTCCCAGAGCGAGCATCCAAGGTACAGGGCCATCATTTTATATTGTCTGTGTAAATGCCTGTCTGTGTCTGCCTGTCTGTGCCTTTGCATATCTGTTAGTGACTGTTGCTGTGTCTGTTTCTGTTTGTTCTTTTTTATGTGTAGTAGCAGCAATATAAAAAAAATAATCAATAGTAAAGTTAAATGGAACCACTTTTGATAAATGCCAACTGGCTGAAATGCATCAAGGGGAGGTGGACTATCATTTACCCAAGTTTGTAAGATTTTTTATTTTAATTTTACTGTTTTTTCTCAATAAAGCCAGTGGTGCTTTTATACACCCGTATCCAGTTGTTTGGAGTTCCTTGTTGGTGCCATACTGGGAAAGAGGAAAAGCATTGCACCTGAACATCCAGATTCTTACAAGGTGGCCACCGTTACTTCTATATTGAGCTTTTAGTCTGAGCAAGCTTGTGGAGCAGCTCAGAACCATGTGAGTGGATCCAATATTAATTCTTACCATTATATAGTTTCAACTATATTACCCTATGTATATATCCCTTTTTTTTTTGTTATACCAACTGTATGTGCCAAGTGTGGTAACTCTTTTTTTTTTTCTGTATACCTGTGCATCATTCCTTCCAACTTTGCCCTAGCTTGAATCGGGACAGGGGCTGGGGCCTTCCAAGGGGGTGTCTGAAGATGCCCCTAAATTGGTGGGCCTGTCTGGAAAGTAGGAAGACCAAACCAGTAAAAGGGCATGTAAGCCTGGCATCAAGCACTCCAGGCTCACCAATATCTTCCTGGCCATCTTTCTTGCATAGAGGACCATGCAGAGAGTGCTGCTAAAGCAATCTCTGCATGCTCCTAGTGTCTGCAAGACAGTGTGAGCACTTCTAATGATGCACTTGCACTGTGTGTCTGGAGGAAAGTTTCTTGATGACTCAGAATGCGGGACACAAGGGAGCTAAAGTGGACCTGCAGACAGAACCTCAATATCAGGACTACCCCACTGAGTTTGATTGTTAGGCGGCATGTTGGATGTGCTTGTGCATATGTGTTGTGTGTGCCTGTCTGTGTCTGTATCAGAGTGGGTCTGAGTATGTGCCAAGAGGTGTGTTAAGCAGTGGAACTTGGAGGGGCAAGGGTGGGGCATGGGGAGGGCCACGGACGCAGTTTTACAAAGAGATCATTAAATACGTTTTGGTCTTAAGCCCCTGGTGTTTTTTGACCCGAACAACTGCCCATACAGTTTCTTTAAAAACAGAAAGCACCACTCTGCTGTAATGTGAATGTGAAAACAACATTTTGATGATAGATTTCCTTTAACTCCTTAAGGACCAAACTTCTGGAATAAAAGGGAATCATGACATGTCACACATGTCATGTGTCCTTAGGGGGTTAGAGTTGCGTTTACATATAAATATGATTATTCACCAAATTGACGACAGATGTTCTTTAAGTATGTGAATGAAAAGTGTCAGAATGCAGATTCAGAAAAAAAGGAATTTATCTCCTTTCACTTTTCTTTAGGTAATTTACTTATACGTGTTTAGCAAAAACCTTACACTCAAAAATGATACATATCCTATGCAATACGTCTAGTGTAAGAAACCTAATGGTAAAATATTCCAGAAAGGCCCAGCAAATCAATTTGATAAATAGACATTTGTTTATTTCCACGTTTACTGGAATCCACGTGTCCTTTAACTAATTACAGATCTGGATTTGATGAAATTGGATCTAAAGGGATAACAGGACAGCAGATGCAGGAATTCACTGTCCCCACACATTCAGCTCTGTATCTTGTATGGTATTGGCCCATCACTGCTCTCCTTGTTGGTTGCAGCTTGCTCTTCGGATAAATGGAGTCTTTTTTTCTAGAGAAAGCAAACACACTAAACCTCTGCCCCTTGGGACCTTTGCCTGGGAGTAAATTCACGCTCTGAGCATAAAGCTTTGAAAAGTCATCTTGTAATCCTCTGTCAGCTGGACAATGCAGCCTTTGCTTATCAGAGTGATAATGTGGACAGCGTAAAGCAAGCATATTAAAATTATGTAATTCACCATACAATACACATTATTATACTAAAGACACCATAAAAAGTAATGTAAACTTCCACAATTATAGCAATTGTTTGGTTGCACTTTCTAATTCCATCACATCATTATTTAAAACAAGCATTAAAACCCATATTCAAATATATTTTTAAGAAAAAGGCAAAATAATATTTCTGCCCTGTGCATCAAAATCCATTTTCATGTATGACATGCCATTGCCCATAGCTTGTTTTCTATAACTATACCAAAGTGCTTCTTATTTATTTGCCATTTATTAAGGTGTAAATTGTTTCTGCATTTCTGATGCCAAAATGCATAACTTTGCATTTATTTACATAAAGTCTCATCTGCCACGTGGCTGCCCAGTCCTCTAATTTGTCCAAACCCTTCTGCAGAGAAGTAATATCCTGATCATACTGGATTACATTACCTAGTCTTTTGTCAAAACCTGACACATGACTTTCATTGTTTATTGCAAGATTATTAATAAACATGCTAAATGAGCGGCTCACTGGTATATAATTTAAGGGCATAGATTTTTATCCCATCTTAAATATAGACACTACATCTCTGCAGGGTCCTAGTGCCCTGAACATGTGCTCGTGCTGTACTTGTTGGGGAAGTTCCCTGGTGCCTCCAAGAGTGGGACACCAGGGAACTAAGTTGAAATCGGCAAAGTTGAAAAGACTGTAATAGCACAGTGTTATCCAATCACATTCTCTTCTGCCATAACTCTTCTTCTTTGCTACATCCTGAAGAAAAACGTAGTTAAAAGTTCTGCCTTTTTCTGATACTCAGTTACTAATTTACACTTGTCTGATTTAATTGAACCCGCACTTTCACTTCTGAGGTTTTTATGTAGAATTATGAACTTAGAGAGACATTATAGTCACCAAAACTGCTGCAGCTTAACCCCTTAAGGACACATGGCATGTGTGACATGTCATGATTCCCTTTTATTCCAGAAGTTTGGTCCTTAAGGGGTTAAAGAGAAACAAACTAGTTTTCCTAGCACTATAGTGACCTACAATGCCCCCCTACCTCATAGCTCTGCCCCGTGTTGCTGAATGGGTTAAAAATATGTGTATAACCTATGTTAACTTTATCACTTAGGTTCTTAAACGGTTTGAATTCTTCTTCTGCGAAGCCGCCAGGGTATTTCTGACACCAATAGGAATTCCAGGCCTATAGTGTTAGGAAAACATACATTGTATTCCTAACACTGTAGACATTGTAGTTTAATTATGTACATTAACATATCTTTTGTGGTTGGTCTTGCTCAGTTTTTCATCTTCGTCTTCAATATATATTTAATATATGATGCCTCCGACCCATCTTATTTAAACGCCCTTTTCTTATTTATGTTTTCATGACTGATCTTCCTACTGATTCACATAGGTTTTAATTTGTTTATTTTATTTATTTACTTTTTCCCTAATGGTAATAAATACAGTGAGAAGTGTACTCTTCTAGCATTCAATGTATCCTCTGTGTTTCCTCAGAGAACTGTTATTGCCAGTCAATGAGCTGTAAAGCTGTTTTTATCCTATTGAAATTTGACTTTTCGTAAACCGCACGTGAATATCCTTTTTTGGAATTGATTACAAATGACATTGTATTATTGTCACTATTTCCAAAGTGCTCCCTTGAACTTGAATGTTTGAAAACTTTTTTTAAAAATATTTTTTGGCATGTTTTTTGCAAAAATATAAAAGGCAGGCCTATCCCTCCCTTTTTATCTTCCACTGCCAAAAGAAATTGATGAGACACCTAAAATGTCACATTCAACTGTAAGTCATATTCACTGAAAAAATGGCTGAGACTGGCACTAAAGACCTAAGGCTTTACAGGTGGAGCTAACATCATGCACTTTTGTGTTGCCAAGGTTAGGTCGGTGTGAAAGGCATTCATATAAGTGGGTGACAAGGATTAAAGGAACAGTTCAGCGCCATAACCACTACACCCTAGGAGTGCCCTCACAGGGTTAATAGTCCAATGCCCTACCAGGGTAAGTAGTCAAACCATTTGAGAATGTTTTCACAATATACTTGGGGTTTGCTGGGTACAAACTTCCATCTCCAGAAGCTCCTGCTATGAGTTAGCCCGGTGGTGCCAGTGATGTGCTCATTGTTTGAGAGTGGTCTGCTGACGCCCTCTGTAAATGAACAAGCCCTGCACGACAGGGCTTAGTTTAGCTGAGCTTATGGAAGCTCTTTGCAGGACCTACTGGTTCCAGAGGTGATTGGTAGACCTCAGGTAAGTTCTTAAACAGTTTGACTTCTTCTTGCTCTAAACCGTCAGGGTACTACTGACACCATAACCATTACAGAAGGCTGTAGTGGTTATGGTGCTTTGAGTGTTCTTATAAGCCCGAATGCAACACACGCACCCAGGCCCTAACTCTCCTAACTATGCAGTCCTAATCCTAAACAATCCTTTACCTACCCATATAAGTAGGGCTGCCATCAGAAATATCAACTCCCCTTAAAAAAATAAAAAAATACATAAATGATAGTGTGGGGACCCTGTCACCTAGATATTTTAGCTTGGCACAGTAAGCCCCAGGTCTATTTAGTTTCATGGGTTTTGTAACATGTGTGCTTCAAAAACAAAATGCTGGAATTGATTGTTTGCTAACCTCGTAATAAAATAATAATAAAGTTCCACTTTTTATTTTTTTTTTATTTTTTTTTAGCCCAACTGAGAATGTATGAGATTCTAATATACTAGAATTCTAAATATATATGACAACATTTACCTGTCTCTTTCTCCACCCCACAATGAAACAGTTGATATCATTCAGTGAGATTTAATCAACAATGAATTGTGAAGCCCAATATTTAAAGGGTTTCACTGTCACCAGGTTTCTTATCAGATGAGCATTGTCTCACTTTTGTCTGCTGAAATAAACTCAATTACTTTTATAAAGTAACAAATGAAACACCTGGTGATTGACAATGTTGCCTGTAGATACACGTTTCACATAGAGTCCTACAACAAAATATTATTATTGAAGGTTCATACTAAATCCTTCAGTTGCCCCAGAAACATGAAAGCGTAGAAACATACAGATAATGTGTTTTATTGCCACAAATGGTGAAATCACCAATAACTATTAATTTAACTATTTAAGTATTTTAACACTTAAATGGTGCTCCGACTGTTCTCGACTACTTTTCCCATTAAACCCAGCCAACTGAAAGGCTTTTGTTTATTTATTTTTTAAAGTGAGGTGAAAAGTGAATGACCTCATCGTCATGTAGGAGGAGCACAGAGTGCATGATGTAACACAGCAGTGTTCCATTCTGTTGCAATGTAGATGTGATAACTTTCTATACTGTAAACGTGATGGCCACATGTCATGTCTGTTAATGGACGGAGTTCTGCTTTCATCTATATAACTAAAAAAAACCATAGAAAATAATTGTAGATGTGGGATTGCCATTTTTTGGGGATACCAAATTAGGGAGCTATCAACCAAACAGCTGAAAGATCAAAACAAGGTAAAGCCCTTCTCTTAATTTTTTTCACGGTTGCCAACAGTCTTTTTTTTGCTGGAACAGCCCCATGTTTTGTCCCAGTAAATACGGGTCCCTGCCACCTTGCCTATCCCCTCATGGCCTGTGATTCCACTTCACTTACTCCCAGCGAACAGTGACCCACACAGGGGACAGAGAAGAGACACAGGAGGGAAATGGGAGCCTGGACCAGCAGCAACCTACTCCCATCTACTGCAACCAACCTCAATATGCAGTCATCTGTTGGATTCCGGGGAAGCCACCCTCCTGTACATAAAAGTTATGGAAACAGGATTGCGGTTCAAAATATGTTTTTTCGGGGGGTGAGGGGGGAAGATGAGTGGGGAAGGGGGGCGTGGCCTACAGAGCTACAGGGCAGATGTCTATTTCTTGGGCTCCGCAAAGACCCAGCAAACAAAGTGAATAGAGACGCAAATAATAGATCCTTTTAAGCCATAAACACTGACCCCCTCAAACAGACACCGTGGGGCGAAAAAACAGATGTCAATATCGCAGAGAAGCCCTGCAACTGCCAAACATATGGCTCTTTCGAGAGGCCAGTGCTGCATCAACAGCCAAAGATGGAGCCTGAGGCCCACAGTGAGCCCAAGGCCTTGGGTGATTCACAGGAGGAAGGGGAACCTCTTGCCTCACCCTGGTCCGGAGGTGATGACCGCTCATTGGAGTTGGATGAAGACACAGTGCATCGACAAAGGAAGATATTATTAAGCTCCTCATATACCTACGGAAGGTCTGGAAGGAAGACCTCCAAGTTGTCCAAACTGAAATTGGAGTGGTTCACCAAAAGGTCAGAGAGCTGGAAACGAGAGAATCCTCCAGAGACAAACAACTGCAAAATACCAGCAGCATGTGTATAGTGTGTATGCTGTGTGTGTGTGTGTGTATGGTGTGTATGCTGTGTGTGTGTATCGTGTGTGTAGTGTGTGTAGTGTGTATGCAGTGTGTGTGTGTAGTGTGTATGCAGGAGGGGGGACTCACTACATTCCCTGGTGGTCCGCTGGCACAGTATGGTTGCCCATTGAAGAGGGGCCCAGGAGTCTCCACATCCAGCAGCAGCATGTCCTCTGTTCTCGTGATCCACGAGAGATTCAGACACAGAGAGCTATAAAGAAGCAGATTACATTAAGTGTGTTTTGGCGACAGAGCTACTTTAAGTTAGGATTTCATTAGATGGTGCACCCATAGTGTTTCTTGAGCGCATGGGATTCTGTTCATTATTAATTTAACCCTAGGTACTTTTAAGAAAAAACAACATATTTTAATAAATCTGCATATTCAGCTGTTATGCCTGAAATAAGAGGTATTTTATTATCAGAAATTATTAAAACAGAAATTGAGATATATATATATATATTATCTGAGAACAGTTTATGACAGCAAAAGGGTTGACAGGGAAAACAGGAGTGTATCTGCTTGCATTTTCTTAGAGGGACTAAGAATATTGTCATTGGACACTTTGAGAAACCAGATAAAAACATTTTAAATGTATAACTTTGGACTGGTGACTGTGAAAGATTTTATTGAATGGGGTGAAAATTACATCGAGCAGGCAATTCTTAATTGTGTTTGGATCTTGTCTCACCATAAAGAATAGAATTCCACTAGAGAAGAAAAGCTTAATTATTTTAATATTTGTCAGCACAGACTTCACTCGAAGGAATTCCACGCATGATAAACCTCGTAAGGCTTAAATTACACCGTGAACCTATATTGGCAATTTTGCACTCTTTTAACACCGCTAAGTAATTGGATATAGGCGGAATAAGAGAATCCTATAGAGTCCTATTCACTAAAATAGTCGCAATCAAGTAAATATACAACATGTCGTGGGAGCACTGTGTGAGTAAACAGTTTGGAGTCATTAACTAAACAGCAAGTTGTGCAAGGTAACTGAAAAACTATGTGAAGAATTTTTCCATTTAAGCTTTTTTAGCCCAAGTTTAACTTCCCTTGTCAAATCGCTCCCGTTCCCAATTTAGTGGAACAACCATTCTATTCTAAAATAATCTGTTAAACCGAATTAGGATGTAAGCTCCTAGGGTTACGAGATTTAATTTGCATTCTAAGCTCACCGCATACGTGTGTTTTGCTGAGGTATACACTCTCCTCTCTTTACAGTAATTACATTAACCCGACGTGTTGATTAATGATCTGGGTGGGAAAGAGTTGGGTTACACATTCACTGTCTGCTTTTCCATTAAATCATGTCTCGGAGTTGAACGGAGATAGTGACTACATATTTTGTAGCTTAGCAGGTAAGGGCAGGTACAGGATTTGTTGGCTGACAGAATATCCATTTCAAAACATTTTATATCATCTTTACGACTTTTTGTAACCCATTAATGGCTACACAAATAACATACAACGCTAGGGAATTAAGCAGTCTGTGATTTGGCACTAGTTGTCAATAGAACTTTATTTTTTTAAACAAAATTATTCATAGACTGTATTCTATTAGCTGAAGTAACAAATTTATATAGAAAAGAAAAGAATAACAAAACTACAAACTATAAAACCAATGCAATAGGTTTTAGGACACTGTAAGCAACCTAACGACAATAACTTATTGTAGTGTTTATGGTGGAAGGAGTCTTTCAGTTTTGCTCCCAAATCCCGGTCTGCACTGGGACAGGTTAAAACATGAGACATGTAGACAGCAACAGAAACACAATTACTGGAGTATAATGGTGAGCAATATTCATCAGACTGTGAAGAAATAGTGATTACAACTATGCAACATACTTAAACTAAAAGTCTGATAAAATAAGATAGGAAACCTTAACTCCTGCTCATCCCTTAGTTTGTTTCTTTTCTCTTCTGATTGAATTTTCCTTAGTGAAGACTTTTCTCCACTCAATTTGTCCTCTTGCACCACAATCTGTCCAGTCAGATCCATGCCTTGAACTGTCCAATCCCTTACCAATATCTTCAGTATCTAATTTTCTTCTGCTACCTTCCAACGTTCCTTAGCTACACAACTAACACTCTTCCAATAGTCATCTCTCGACCCAACCTTTGTCTGACAGCCACTCTACTCCTTACTAGACTTGTACATGGCACAAACATTTGTTCTATTGACTGTTTAGCACACGTGAATATTGTCTATAAAGATATCCGGGAAAACCATTCTGACGAACCAAAACAGGTGTGAAAATTGGCCAGTCAGTGTAATGCAAAATAGATACATAAATATAAATAGTACGTATATATTTTGCAGGAAACTGATAGGTGTTTTTTTTTTTCTGCCAATTGGGTCACAGATCAAGTGAGAAAAAGTTACCAAAAAGAGGGTAAAAAAGATGCCGTAAACAAAATCTAGATTCATATATTTGTATGTCTATATTTATTAAATATATCATATATAAATATATTTAAAAAATTAATTATACATTTTTAATGTTTTTTGGAGGCAGAGGCGGAACTCTGAATACCAAGTGAACATGTTTAACCATCGTGCTAGTCATTTGCTCTGTTTTACATTTGTATCGTGCTTCAGAGATACTGAATTTGATAC